TGACGATCCTCTTCTGGGATATGTGCTCCAGTAATTGATCCTCCATTGTGAGGAATGTCTCAGTGACCGAATCTTCCCTAGGACATGTTCACCAGGGACGGTCCCTCCACTGTGATTTGGCCTTAGGGAATGAATTTCAATTCAAAAAAAAAAAAAAAAGAGTTTTCCTAAAAAAAAAAAAGAAAAGAAAACCTTCCATATTGTATAAGTCTTTTAAATCATCAACTAATAATCTCTAAACATTCTAGGTCTCAGACTTGAGGAAACAGAGAAAATGATGACAAGTTTCTGTGTATCGACATTAAAAAAAAAAACAGGCTGGGCTCGGTGGCTCAGTCTGTAATCCCAGCACTTTGGGAAGCCAAGGTGAGTGGATTGCCTCAGCCTGAGGGTTCGAGACCCGCCTGGGTAACTTGGCGGAGACCTCATCTCTACAATAAATCAAAAATTAGGCGGGTGTGGTAGCGCATGCCTGTAGTTCCAGCTACTTGGAAGGCTGAGGCAGAAGGATTGCCGGAGCCCAGCAGGTCGATGCTGCAGTGGCTGGGAGCGGCCACTGCACTCCAGTCTGGGTGACAGACTGAGACTCCAACTCAAAATAATAATAATAATAATAATAAAAATAAAAAATAAAAAAATTTTTTAAAAAACCAAGTTTAAATTTAAATTGGCAGTGCCACAAGTAGTATAATGATAGATGTGGAATGCAAGCACTCTGATCTAAGGAGCTTTCAATCAGAACAAACCAAACTCAATTGCCAGCATCCCTACCCTTTCTTACCTCGTTGTGGACATCAAATAAACCCTGTTGGATCTTCCTATATATTTCTTTGGCTGTGTTAATGAAGGCCTGAAGGAGACATAAATCATATTATCAGTCACAAGTTTAGGCAGAGAAATGAGGGAAATAAAATATTAATATAATTCCTATTTGAATTTCCAAGGTGAATTAGGAACCATTAGAAGGCAGGGAAAATACAGAAGGTCACTTAAGTTGTTCTGTAAAAGTCACTAAGAGTAGTTTCAAAAAATAAAAAATGGGGCCGGGCTCCGTGGCTCAGCCTGTAATCCCGCGCCTTTGGGAGGCTGAGGTGAGTGGATTGCCTGAGCCCGCGGGTTCGAGACCTGCCTGGGCAGGCGAGACCTCATCTCTACAATAAAATAAAAAATTAGCTGGGCGTGGTAATGCGCGACTGTAATTCTGACTACTCGGAAGGCTGAGGCAGAAGGATCGCTGGAGCCCAGCAGGTCGAGGCTACGGTGGCCGGGACAGCCACTGCACTCCAGTCTGGGTGACAGAGTGAGACTCCAACTCAAAAAAAAAAAAAAAAAAAAATGGATTATATGGTATTCTGGTACTGATTCAAGATGTTTCTGGGTTTCTAGTTTGGCACTTCTGCAAATAAAACAAGCTCTCTTCTCCATTAGTTACTGAAGATATTGTCAACATCAGGCCTAAGAATGACTACAGAACCCATTAGACACTTTAAATGAAGCGATTTACAAGAAACAATGATGTCTAATCCACACTTATCAATTAATGTTACCCAAAGCAAAAGTAAAACCTTAGGAATCAGGTTAAAAAAAATGGGATGAGTCCCTTAAAAGGAGACATTTGTTCACTATGACCATAAGACATCCTTTCTTTGCCTGTGGCTTATAGGATTATTCTGAATAAAAGGACAAAAATGGTGGGATAATATCTGAAGGACTTTTCCCACCTTTTTCCAAATAATACCTCTTCAACATTGCAGGCTGTTTTAGCAGATGTTTCCATGAATATAAGTCCATGCTCCCGAGCAAAGGCTTCTCCTTCTTCTCTCTTTACATCTCTGCGGGATTCTAGGTCACTGCAGAGATAAATTGGGGAAAAAATTAAAAGAAGATCAAAGTGAAAGAGAAGACTCTAGTTTTTTTTGTTGTTGTTATTGAGTTGTTGTCTCACTCTGTCACCAAGTTGCCCTGGCTGGTCTCAAACCCCTGGGCTCAGGCAATCCTCCCGCCTCAGCCTCCCAAAGTGCTGGGATTACAGGCTTGAGCCACCGTGCCCAGCTGGAAACTCTAGTTCTAAAATGCTACCACAGTGGTTTCAATCGTCAGTTAATTCATAAAGAATGTAGATCCAGGCCAGGCACAGTGGTTCATGTCTATAATCCCAGAATTTTGGGAGGCTGAGGTGAGAGGACTGCCTAAATCCATGGGCTTGAGACCAGCCCGAGCAACTTGGAGAAACCTCATCTTTACAGTAAATCAAAAAATTAGCCAGGTGTGGTGGCGTGTGCCTGTCATCCCAGCTACTTGGAAGGCTGAGGCGGAAGAATCGCTGGAGTCCAGCAGGTCAAGGCTGCGGTGGCTGTGAGTGTGCCAGTACACTACAGTCTGGGTGACAGAGTGAGACTCTGACTAAAAAAAAAAAAAGTCTAAATGGTAAATTTTATGTTATACATATTTTACCACAATAATTTTCTTCCTGAGTCACTAAGAGTACCATAAACTGAAAAAGTTGAGGGACCAAGAAATTCAATGTCCATAAAGTGGCTAGATGATGCCTACTAACTATTATTCACCCAGATAAAATCTTACCTCTTATTCCCAATCAGCATGATAACCATGTTGGAACTAGAGTGCTGCCGGGCATCCTCTAACCATGAGGTCAGGTGGTTGAAGGTTTCACGCCTACAGAAGGAAAATTTAGAACGTGGGTCAGAGACCCATCTCATAAGGTCAAAACAACTCCAAATGTATAGGAAAAGAGGAAAGCTACATATGTAAAGAATTAGAAAGGTCATTTCTAGTTAGTATCCTTAATAGAATCAGTAGATTTAAAAAAAAAAAGCTTTAGAAAACGTAGAGAAAAGTATCCCTCCCACGTACCAGATCTGGCTCACCTTGTAATGTCGTACACCAGCAGTGCTCCAGCTGCTCCCCTGTAGTAGGAACGGGTGATAGAACGGAAGGATTCTTGCCCAGCCTTTCCCACCAACATGGCAACAAAAAATCCCAACAAAACTAGGTTATTTCCAGAGAACTGATTTGATCACATGCCACCCTAATACAAAGGACTTAACTAAAAAAAGAACTTCTATTAAGAAAAGAAAATTAGGGAAAGGAAACATGCCTGCCAAGGAGAAGCCCAGGTAGAAAATCAGTATTTTTCAATGGGAATACAATTGATATTTTGAGTAGGTCATTAATTTTTCCTGTGAGATTGCCCATCAAATTACTGGATATTTAGCATCCCTGACTTCCAGTCATCAAATGCCAGTAGCATCCCACAGTCAGCATGACAATCTTTTTTTTTTTTGAGTCAGAGTCTCACTGTCACACAGGCTGGAGTGCAGTGGAATGTTCACGGCCACCACAGCCTCCACCTGCCGGGCTCAGGCGATCCTTTTGCCTTAGCCTTCAAAGTAGCTGGAACTACAGGCGCGTGCCACCACATCCAGCTAATTTATTTGATTTATTGTAGAAATGAGGTCTCTCCAAGTTGCCCAGGCTGGTTTTGAACCCTGGGCTCAGGCAATTCCCTTGCCTTGGCCTCCTGAAGTGCTGGGGATTACAGGCATAAGCCACCGTGCCCGGCTGGTATGTTGTATTTTCAACCCCAAATATGATGTTGAACATATCACATTAATTTTTCTGTTCTTGTTATCTGTGAAAAGGAAAATTATCTTAGAAAGCCAATAGCCTGTTTCATAGAAATTGCACACCAATAGGCCAATGTAGAAAATTAGACACAAAGCACTTAAATTAAGCATAAACTGGCCTGGCGTGGTGGCTCAAGCCTGTAATCCCAGCATTTTGGGAGGCCAAGGCGAGAGGACTGCCTGAGCTCAGGGGTTAGAGACCAGCCTGGGCAACATAGAGAGACCTCGTCTTCCAATAACTCCAAAAATAAACTGGATGTGGTAGCATGCCCCTATAGTTCCAACTACTTGGAAAGCTGAGGTGGAAGGATCACCTGAGCCCAGCAGGTTGAGGCTGCTGTGGTTGTGAGCGCGCCACTGCAATTCAGCCTGGGCAACAGAGTGAGACTCTGACTCAAAACAAAAACAACAAAAATTAAGCATAAACTAACTGACCTTCAGTATTGCACTGATAATGTAGGACTATCTAGATGTCCCTTGCTGGGATCCTGTCATGAAAGATAGGAATAAGGAACAGTGAAAAAAGCCCAGGGCCAGAACAGAGTATTCCTAGAAAAATCCAATGTTCACACTCTGATCTCATTTCCAACTTAGCCAAGATACTAAGTTTTATTTATAAATGAGCAACTTATTAATGCCCCCATATGTTGGGTACTTTTGCTTTCTTGATAGTTTTTTGCTTTTATTTTTTATTTTATTTTTACTTTTTATTTTTTTGAGTTGGAGTCTCACTCTGTCACTCAGACTGGAGTGCAGTGGCTGCTCCCAGCCACCGCAGCCTCGACCTGCAGGGTCAGGTGATCCTTCCGCCTCAGCCTTCCAAGTAGCTGGAACTACAGGCACGTGCTACCACGCCCGGCTCATTTTTTATTTATTGAAGAGATGAGGTCTCGCCAAGTTGCCCAGGCGGGTCTCAAACCCACGGGCTCAGGCAATCCACTCACCTCAGCCTCCCAAAGGTGCAGATTACAGGCTGAGCCACCGAGCCCAGCTTGCTTTTATTTTTTTTAAGGAAAGCAAAAGCATCTTTTATTTTATTGCAAACAGATGACAAAAGCATCTTTCTTTTCTTTCTTTCTTTTTTTTTTTTTGAGTTGGAGTCTCACTCTGTTGCCAAGGCTGGAGTGCAGTGGCACACTCACAGCCACCGCAGCCTCAATTTGATGGGTTCGGGCATTCCTTCTACCTCAGTCTTCCAAGTAGCTGGAACTACAGATGTGTGCCACCACAACTGGCTAATTTTTTTTATTTATTGTAGAGACAAGGTCTCGCCAAGTTGCCCAGGCTGGTCTTGAATCCCTAGACTCAGGCAATCCACTTGCCTTGGCCTCCAAAAATTACAGGTCTGAATTACCATGTCCAGTCTAGTATCTTTTAAATAATAATAATATGAATACCCTGTGCAATGAGAATCTCTCCTATTAGAAAAAAATTTTCACATTCTTGAAATAATTTATACTTATATTCCTACGAATTGGGAAGTAAGACTGTTGTTTTTGCTTTTCAAATGGGAGAGCCAAGACTGAGAACATAGGAAGATACACGGCTTTCTATAATAGTGATGATACTAATGATGATACTGCAATAATATTATTTATTTTTTAGAGACAAGGTCTTGATCTGTTGTGCAGGCTATAGTGCAGCAGCACAATCATAGTGCTACAGCCTCAAACTCCCGGGCTCAAAGGATCCTTCCACCTCAGCCTCCCAAGTAGCTAGGACTATAGGCAAGTACTACCATGCTCGGCTAATGTTTTCATTTTTTGTAAAGATGGGATTTTGCTATGTTGCCCAGGCTAGTCTCAAAATTCCTGAACACAAGCAATCCTCCTGCCTCAACCAAAGATTATAAGTGTGGGCCACCATGCCCACTGTAATAATATTACTATTTTTTGGCATACACAATGTGTCAGGAACTACAGGAGACATTATCTCATTTAATTCTTGTACAGACCTAAGGCAGATATTATTATTCTCTATTATCAGTTGGGAAAATGGGGTTCAAGGAGACAAAACTGGCCAAAAATCATAAAGCTTATATGTGCTGGATCCGAAATGTAAACTTAAGATCTTAATACTTCCTAGCACAAAGTTTTGCTTTTTTAGTCATTATATCACATAATCTAAATCACAGTTTGTAGTTGAGAAGAGAGTTCCAGTACATAGAACTCTAAGGTTACTTTTCCAACAACACAACAGTCTCTTTCTCCAATAATCATACAAACATTTTAGTGAGTTGCACAGCTGTTAAGAGCATCAGAATCCAAAAATTAAAATAATTGTAAAGTCCTTTGTCAGCAGTATTAATAATATTTTAAGATTTAAAAAATACTTTTTCCTTCCAAGAGCAAACTTAAAACTTTATATCCATTCCTTAATAATTTCATGTCTTACACTATTTGGATCCTGTTGTTCTTTTATGTCTTAATTTTTCTGCTATCATTGAAAGTCCCCCTCCACTTTTCTCATGACCTACTAGGAACTAAAAGGAAAAGTTTAAGGGAGGCTCACGTGATGGTTGGATCACATGGCAGCATTTAACTTTAGCAGCTGAAAACACTCTCAGTATGTCATCATAAAACATTTTAAAATAAAGTCATTCCACTTCTTCATCTGAGTCCAGTTTATGAACCGAAATTTGTGAGCTAGGAAGCTAGAAAGAGTGAGCAGTTCAACTTGGGCTGGTCTGCATCAGTCTCAGGCATATCATTGTCCATCCCCAGTAAAAAAATCTAAACCAACTAAGAACTAAGATGAAGGTTTGATAGAGAATTAATAATTTTCTAATTTCTCCCAGGTAGAAGCATCATCTTATGCTTTCAAGATACATAGCTTGAAGTATCAACTCCTAAAAAGTCAGATATACTATTTTCCTAAGAATCAAAATGCATCCCTTCCAATAAAGAGTTTATTAAGGAAAAAACCCAAATTTTAAAAAATGCATTCCAGCTGGGCATGGTGGTTCACGCCTGTAATCCCAGCACTTTGGAAGGCTGATGAAGAGGACTGCCTGAGTCCACAGGCTTGAGACCAGCCTAGACAACATGGTGAGACCTCATCTCTACAATAAATTAAACAAAAAAAATTAGTTGGGCATGGTGACGCAGACCTCTAGCTCCAGTTACTCGGAAGGCTGAAGTGAAAGGGTCTCCTGAGCCCAGTAGGTCAAGGCTGTGGTGGCCATGAGTGTGCCACCGTACTCCAGCCTGGGTGACAGAGTGAGGCTCTGACTAAAAAAAAAAAAAAAAAAAATTTTTTTAAATAAATAAAGAAATAATGCATTCCACACTGGGTGTGGTGGCTCATGTCTGAAATCTCAGCACTTTGGGAGACAGAGGTGAAAGGACTGCCTGAGCCCAGGGTTTTCAGACCAGCCTGGGCAACATGGCAAGACCTTGGCTCTACAATAAATCCAAAAAAAATTAGCTGGGCATGGTGGCACATGCCTATAGTTCCAGCTACTTGAAAGGCTGAAGTGGAAGGATTACCTGAGCCCAGCAGGTCAAGACTGCTGTGTCCGGCCTAGGCAATAGAGTGAGAATCTGACTCAAAAAAGAAAAAAGAAAAGAAAAATGCATTCGAAAGTAAAACACAGATCAATTTACCAATAATTTATATTAGTTACAGTACAATGATTCTTCATTACCATGATTATTTATATATATGTATGCATACATAAAAGAGTAAAAAAAAAATCAAGGTTCTCTAAATCCTTATTAATACCAGAAGAGAAACAACAAAAAGCTTTGAATACCTGCTCTCTTTAAATGTCTATCATGGTCATCACTAATAATGTTAACATAGGACAGTTTTGGAAGTAATCAAGGGAATGGGTCAATAGAGTAGGAAACCAAGACAGGTAAGCAACAGGCAGGAGATTAGGCTGACAAGAGAGAAATGATCAGACTTGCCCAGAAAGCAGCAGACAAGACAGACACTATATTAGAGGTATGAATCTCTTAAAATTTTCAAAACAAATAGAAAACGACAGTCTTCGAAATCTCTTTTTTTTTATGGTTTTATGATTCAGCAGATTAACCTCAAACAAATTTTAAAAGGAAGCAGAAAAGAACTAGATGAGTCAGATAGACATGTAGCTCTTAGGATTCTGTCCACATAATAGTGGCTCTCAACTTCCTTACTCCATGATCCAATCCTGTATAATATGAGCACTTAAGGAAAAAAAGAAAAAAGAAAAAGAAAAAGCCACCAAGCCAACACATGGCCATGACCATACCACTAACTGGCACTTATTGGTTTTTTTCTTCCTGGCATCAAAACACCCATTTCTGGAAATGATAGAGATTTAAGTTAAAGAGGCAGAATCTAGCTTACACTAGTTTTGAACATGTACAGGCTTCACTCTGTCACCTCCTCAGAATTTATCCTGTGGCTTCTGCAGGGGGCCAAATCTCTCTTTATGGGAAATATAAAAATCAAGGGATAATAACAGGTGAGTTACAATATCTATTTGGGTTAAAAGTGACAAAGATCCCCTGCGCCTCACAATGAAAGAAGGAAAGTGGTAGTGGTTTAAAAGCAATATATCACTGGGCTCAGTGGCTCAGCCTGTAATCCCGCGCCTTTGGGAGGCTGAGGTGAGTGGATTGCCTGAGCCCACGGGTTCGAGATCCGCCTGGGCAGGCGAGACCTCATCTCTACAATAAATCAAAAAAATTAGCCGGGTGTGGTAGTGTGCACCTGTAGTTCCAGCTACTTGGAAGGCTGAGGCGGAAGGATCGCCAGAGCCTAGCAGGTCAAGGCTGCGGTGGCCGGGAGTGGCCACTGCACTCCAGTCTGGGTGACAGTGAGACTCCAACTCAAAAAATAAAAAAATAAATAAATAAATAAAAGCAATATATCCTTCACCTTGTGCATGTGGAATAAATAAATTAATAAATACTTTTAAAATATATGGACTTGCTGGACTCAGTGGCTCAAGTCTGTAACCCCAGTACTTTAGGAGGCTGAGGTGAGAGGATTGCCCTGAGCCTAGGGGTCTGAGACCAGCCTGGGCAACTTGGTACAACCTCGTCTCTATAATAAATCAAGAAAAATTAGCCAGGCATGGTGGCACGCGACTGTAGTTCCAGTTACTTGGAAGGTCGAGACAGAAGGATCACTTGAGTCCAACAGGTGGAGGCAGCAGTGGCCATGAGCACGCCACTGCACTCCAGCCTTGGCAACAGAGTAAGACTTTGACTCAAAAAAAAAAAAAAAAAAAAAAAAAAAAAAAATATATATATATATATATATATATATATATATGTATATATACACTTAACCTTGACAACAGATAGAGAGTGATACTTCTCAGGCTTTCTTGGGGAACAATGGCTAACAAAAAGTGGCCAAATGAAGGAAGTTCAGAAGTTTTAGTGCTATCCAGCTACTCAGCTACTGTTATCACTATTAGAAATGTGAAGTGGGCTGGGCTCGGTGGCTCAGCCTGTAATCCCAGCGCTTTGGGAGGCCGAGGTGAGAGGATTGTCTGAGCCCACGGGTTCGAGACCAGCCTGGGCAGCTTGGAGAGACCTCATCTTTACAATATATCACAAAAATTAGCTGGGCATGGTGGCCTGTGTCTGTAGTTCCAGCTACTTGGAAGGCTGAAGTGGAAGGATCACCTGAGTCCAGGAGGTCAAGGCTGCGGTGGCCGTGAGCATGCCACTGTACTCCAGCCTGGGTGATTATGTAAATCTTTTGCTTGGAAATACAACCAACAGATATACAGGAGAATATCTGATTAATCAGTGCATCCAAATGTGGTACTGATTAATCAGTGCATCCAAATGTGGTAATGACCTTGGAAATCACCAGAAAAGGACTCTGTCCAAAAAGACTCTAGAGCAGCAAGTAACTACTTTTAAGACAAACACCTGTGTGTGGAGGGAGCAGGAAGTAGGGGGAGGGAGAAAGGAGGGGAAAAGGAGAATAAGAAAAAAAGGAAAAATAACTTGTACACTGCTTGTAGTTATTAAAATGGCATTAGCACTCAGTTCAAAGAGGAAGCAGAATCACATAGAAAGAAGTAAACAAAACTAGAAGAGATTTCTGCTGAATATTAGGAACTATTCCCTAGCTCCCTTTAACTAGAACAAAGACTAAGATATTATTTTCCTTATGTGGAAAAAAGGTACATCTCAAATGAGATAATGCACATGAAAGCAATTCATCTGGCTGAAGCAAAATTACACTAAACCAAGCTAAATTTTGGCACTACTACATTTATCAAATTTTTTTTATTTTTTATTTTTGAGTACGAGTCTCATTCTGTTGCCCAGGCTAGAGGGCAGTAGCACGCTCCCGGCCACCACAGCCTCTACCTGCTGGGTTCAGGCAATCCTTCTGCCTCAGCCTTCCTGTAGTTGGAATTACAGGCACACGCCACCACACCCAGCTCATTTTTTGATTTATTGTAGAGATGGAGTCTCATCAAGTTGCCCAGGCTGGTCTCTTGAACCTGTGGGCTCAGGTAATCCTCTCACCTCAGCCTACCAAAGTGCTGGGATTATAGGCATGAACCATCGTGCCCAGCCCAAATTTTAAAATATATATAACCTTTGACTCAGAAATTCCATTTCTGGGCAGATATTCCAAAATAATCCTCAAACATCTGCATTAAGACTAAGTAAATAAGAATGTTCAATAAAGCTTTGGAATAATGAATAACTGGAAACAATCCACATTTCCAGCAATGGGAAGATAGTTAAATAAATTATGGTAAAGATGTTCTATGACTATGCGGTGGTTAAAAGGAATGAAGTAGGTCTATATGTATTCATAAAGAAAGATCTCAGGATCACCGGAGCCCAGCAGATCGAGGCTGCGGTGGCCAGGAGCGGCCACTGCACTCCAGTCTGGGCGACAGAGTGAGACTCCAACTCAAAAAAAAAAAAAAAAAAGAAAGATCTCCAAAACATAGAGATTGTTTAGTAAACAATCTAAGTCATACAGCTAGGTCTTCTTGTCATAATACTATACATGTAAACACTAATGAAAACAAACAACTACCGTATATTCATTATGTGTTTATACATATGTATCTAAATGCATAGAAAGATTCTGAAAGCATACACACTGAATCATTAATAGTAGATCCCTCAGTAGAGTAACAAACAAAACTGAGAGGGAGAAGGGGTTTGTGGGTATATAAAGGACATTTAGTTTTTATTCTATAAATTTATATTGTTTGATCTTATCTTTACTAGAATAAATGAATATATTACTTGGATCATTTAAAACACAAATAAAAAGATATGACATTCAGAATTTGTAACTAACATATGGAATAGAAAGCTTCCTCATCTCTTTTTAAAATTTTTTAAATATATTTTATTTTAAAGATGTGGGGTACAATTCAGGATTAAGTATACAAGTGGACATTGTAAGGTAAAGTTTGGGCCTCCCTTAGGTCCCCACTTTGCCTAGTTTAAGACCAGGTACTAATGTTATGCCCTCTCCCCAGCTTCCCCATCTTTTAATTTACATGTTTCCCTACTGCATCTCCAACATTAGTCCCACCCTCACAGCCCTTTTCCTGTGCATCAGCCTTTACTGTTATATTTGGATCTTGATTAGAGATTAAATTATTTTTTTCCTCTCTCACCGTATCCCAGATTTGCAGTTTGATTTGTTTTCCATCGATGTTGACCATACGAGCTCCAAACTCCACACCTGTCAGTAAAGACCAAGAGAAAGAATATGATTCTTGTGAACAACAGGTGTGCTAAGGAGAAGTTCGTGCTTTTCCTCATTGTATGCACTCAGGACCACTAATCATATTATGGCTGCCTATTTGCTCCAATTAATGTTGTGTTCCTTTAAGGTTCTTCATCTTCCTTCTAAAATTAAAATATTGTGTTCTAAGTGATAATGACTTCAAGAATGTAATTAAAAAGCAGATAGTGAATAAAATCAATTATGAGGCCGGGCTTGGTGGCTCAGCCTGTAATCCCAGCACTTTGGGAGGCCGAGGTGAGTGGATTGCCTGAGCCCATGGGTTCAAGACCCGCCTGGACAACTTGGTGAGACCTCATCTCTACAATAAATCAAAAATTAGCCGGGCGTGGTAGCATGCACCTGTAACTCCAGCTACTTGGAAGGCTGAGGTGGAAGGATTGCTGGAGCCCAGCAGGTCGAGGCTGCGGTGGCCAGGAGCGGCCACTGCACTCCAGTCTGGGCGACGGAGTGAGACTCCAACTCAAAAACAAACAAACAAATAAAAAAACACCACAAAAATACTTGATAAGTCAGACAATTTGTCCTATTGTCTATTTTCATGCAGTACTTTGCACACAGCATGAGGGATTCAGATTTCTAAGTAAGAAAGCATTACTATTGGTATATACCTATTTAGTGGCCCTATGTAGATATGCACAATGTATCTGAAATATCTCAACTCTACAATGCTGTAGTCAATTTAGAAGATACTAGAATTGCTTCTTACTTACTATTCCAGCTGCCTGATCAATAATCAAGTGTTAGATACTGAAAAAGATCACTAGATCTTTTGTTCTTTCGGGATAAGTAGAATGATATTTCAATGGATAAGAATTTTTTAAAAACTTCTGTCTTTTGTAATTTCTTCTAGTTATACACCCAGAATCTCTTACATGTTGCACCTATTTTCTATCCACCTGCCTTATCTGTCGTGGTACAGAGGACTGAACTCAGAAAGAAACACAGGCTCTACTGGACTCTGGGAAAACTTGACTGTCATTTCACTCTTTCACATTAAAGATTTGCTCTCTGTTACCCTCAAGTATTTAAAAACTTGGTACCAGCTGGGCTCAGTGGCTCAGCCTGTAATCCCAGCACTTTGGGAGGCTGAGGTGAGTGGATTGCCTGAGCCTGAGGGTTCGAGACCCGCCTGGGCAACTTGGCGAGACCTCATCTCTACAAAAAATCAAAATGAGCCAGGTGTGGTAGTGCACGCCTGTAAGTTCCAGCTACTTGGAAGGCTGAGGCGGAATGATCGCCAGAGCCCAGCAGCTCGAGGCTGCAGTGGCCAGGAGCGGCCACTGCACTCCAGTCTGGGCGACAGAGTGAGACTCCAACTCAAAAAAATAAATAAATAAATAAATAAATAATTAAAAACGTGGTACCTAATTTTTTTTCTCTAACTCTATTTCTTATTATTCTCCACTTCAAACTTCATGCTCCAGATGTATTAAATTACTTTCAGTTTTCAAAAAGTGGCATGCGCTGGGCTCGGTGGCTCAGCCTGTAATCCCAGCACTTTGGGAGGCCAAGGCAAGTGGATTGTCTGAGCACATCAGTTTGAGACAAACCTGGGCAACTTGGCAAGATTTCGTCTCTACAATAAATCTAAAATTAGCCAGGTGTAGTAGCACACGCCTGTAGTTCCGGCAACTTGGAAAAATGAGGCGGAAGGATCGCAGAAGTCCAACAGGTGGAGGTTGTGGTGGCTGTGAGCGTGCTACTGCACTCCAGTCTAGGCAATTAGAGTGAGACTCCAAAAAAAAGAAAGTGGCATCACAACTTCCATCCCTTTGCACAAGTTAGTCCCTCTTGCCCCAATCATTTTTACCTCATCTCTACAACCCCTTTCCCTGGGTAACTCTTCATTTCTCCATTCTCAGCCTTTCACAATAGAAGTAGGTGGCAGTTTCTCCTCCTCTTTTACAGTAAGAATTTACTTGTCAGTATTTGCCCCAGCTTTATGGCCAAGGCAACAGTGTTTGCCTTGTTAAGCAGTGTCATTAACTCTACCACAGTGTGATAATTCATTTAATATTCACTTTAGAAATATTTTCACGGGGAGACACCTCCTATCAACAAAGGTGCTGAACGAAGCATATTTGTATACCTAACCCTTAACTGTACCCCACAATATCATAATAAAAAATATTGATTAAAAAAAAGACATCACCCTATAAATCCTCTTCTAGCCCCATTAATTATTTGACTTTGAATAAATCCTTTGGAAGCAGTGATAGCATCACATTTCCATACAGGTGGGAACTTGTAAGTAGCAATATTGTAAGAATGGGAAGTCTGGGGTTTTATTTAGAAACTGCAGGCCGGGCTTGGTGGCTCAGTCTGTAATCCGGCGCTTTAGGAGGCCAAGGTGAGTGGATTGCCTTAGCCCGCGAGTTCGAGACCCGCCGGAGCAACTTGGCGAGCCCTCATCTCTACAATAAATCAAAAAAGTAGCCAGGTGTGGCAGCGCGCACCTGTAGTTCCAGCTACTTGGAAGGTTGAGGCGTAAGGATCGCCGGAGCCCAGCAGGTTGAGGCTGAGCTGCACGCCAGTCTGAGCTACAGTGTGAGGAACGAAGGGAGGGAGGAAGGAAGGAAGGAACTGCATTTGCATGGAAAGAAAGTTAGTCTTATACATATTGTTTTTTGTTTTTTTTTTTGAGTTGGAGTCACCCTGTTGCCCAGACTGGAGTGCAGTAGCCGCTCCCGGCCACCGCAGCCTCGACCTGCTGGGCTCCGGCGATCCTTCCGCCTCAGCCTTCCCAGTAGCCGGAATTACAGGCGCGCGCTACCACACCCGGCTGATTTTTTGATTTATTGTAGAGATGAGGTCTCGCTGCCCAGGCGGGTCTCGAACCCGCGGGCTCAGGCAATCTTATACATATTGTTTATTTGGGCTGGGGTTATGTAGATTATGGAGAGAAGGCTGTTAAAGCCCCTTCCAGTCAGGTCTTACCACAAATGTGTGGGAGATGTTAATACTCCCCAGGATCACTAGTGCTTTTGTGGTACTCTATCATACGCTTTTCTTTAAAGGAAAGTAATCAGTTTCATCGGCCTTTTAATTCTGAAGCAAGTATGACTTTTCACTTTGCTTCTTCCTGTCCAACATTAAAAAAAAAACCCATGTATTGTTGTTTATTTTGAAAAATACATGTAAAGTTGGTATTAGTTTACCGCAAAGCACAGATATGTTTTTGAATAAGCCATTATGCTTTCGTGAGGTATTCCATAAACATAGAAACCGCATTTGAAAAAAATCCTGTAGCAACTAGTCCACTCTAAAAGTTACCTTTCAGTTATTTACTCTTCATTACAGTACTCCCCATTTAACAACATCTGGTTAGTTACTCTCTCATTACCATAGCTTCGGACTAGTTTAAAGTAGTGAAGGGGAACTTTTCACTTCGAATATGGAAGGCTGCTAACTTTCCACTTTGGCAGTCTAGCTAATAGGTTTCATTACCTGTTCCGGAACAAGTAGACGCACTTACCTATTGTGAGGTCGTGGACGGGTTGGAACCGTTTGTCTGTAAACTGCAGGAGGAGACATGACTTCCCCACACCTGAAGGAGCAAAAAGCGCGCTCCAGGAGTCCCGCGGCGGGCGGGCAACACCTTCTGGAGTCTGGGCGTGTCCGACACGGGAAGGGGAAGGGGAAAGGGAAGGGGAAGGGGAAG